TGTGTATATACTGTATTTCAGCAAACTTGTAATTATTATTATGATATACGCGTTACTTTTTGCTGTGTTTTTGTTTTGTCCATTTTTACAGGTGTGCAGACAGATGTCGGGTGTGTTGTCTTGTGTTTTCTTGGTTTATATTTCACATATCTTCTCTAATCTCTCTTTCAATTTTCTGCATTACATTTCTCCTTTGTCTTCTTTCTTTCTTTTTCTTCTCTTCATTTCTGTTTTCTACAGAAGTGACTATAAAAAAGAAAGTTGTCTTAATTTGCTTTTTATTGAGAGAATTGGAGGTTAAGTGGAGGCAGTAGCCGACATGAATTCAGTTAAAGAGATTTATTTGGCCAAAAGCAACACAAAGTATCCCTGCAAAGCCTTTGATCACAGAAAACAGTCATCATTCAAGTCATTTATGGACACACACCTCTGTGTTTCAACCTTTTATTCACAGAAATTTGTGTTTCATTATGCAGAGCTGCCATGCAAGTGCCCCTTCTTGTTGGGGAATAGATAGTGGAAAAATAACAAACAAGCCTTTTTACTGATGATGAAGAAACTACTATGCTTTATGCTTTTAATGTTTTAAAGTAATTTTTGTGCCATCTGAAACAGAAAATGAAACTCAAGTTATAAACAAACTGTCATGATTTGTCAGTTTTCACCTTGGTTTTCCTTGTGTTTCTATGTTCCCCAGTGTGTCTCAGTCCAGCTGCCCCTTATTTGTTTGATTAGTCACCCTCGTATTTCTCCCCAGGTGTTTTGTGTTTCAGTTATTAGTCTTCTGTGTATTTAAACCCTGTGCTGTCTCAGTCTTTGGTCGGATCATTTTGTTTGCTGTGTTCTGTTCCCCCGTCTCTGTGATCAGCATCTGTAAGTTTGAGCTGTCTCTACAGCATTTTTTGTTACTTTAAAATAAATTTTTGTTCTACTTTTGGAGCCTGCCTGCGCCCTGGGTCTGTTCATGCTGAATCCTCACAGGCTCCTCACTTTGATAAGATAAAATCTAGTTCCCTTCTTTAACAAACCTTTTCCTTCCTAAACTCTTAAATTCTTTCCCATATCCTGTCAAAATCTTTAAGAATAAGTGCCTCAACAGTGGTTTATTTAACATCTAAAGCTAAACGTTGTTGTTCCTGATAAAGTTGATAAAAT